GGTGAAGAACATGAGCCTTACATTGAAGCATTTCAAGCACAAAAGGTGTACTATGAAGATGACGTATTGTGCATCCAAATCCAAAATATTTAATTTGTATGATGGAAGAAGAAATATATGAGAATGAGACATATCAAGAGCAAGAACTTGAACAGTTTTTGGGCATGGTGACGAGTATGTACAACTAGTTACATACCATCTAATTGACGATGTAGTAACGGAAAATATTGTTACTGACTTACCAGCAGATGCATGAATAGAAAATTTATTAAATATATGCCCTATCTGAAGGTAACAGTATTGCATGATTAAGTAGTTCTTATTTCATTTTTTTTGTTTATAGGTATGCTTAGAATGGTATTCGTGTTTGGTTTAAAGGTATGTTTAGAAATGTTATTCATATATGATTCAATATATCTTTAAATTTATGACGTTCAGTGTTTTGCCGAGGGTCTATCGAAAACACTCTTTCTACCTCTCCAGTTAGGGGTAAGGTTTGCGTACACACTACCCTCCCTCGACCCCACATGTGGGATTATACTGAGTATGTTGTTGTTGTTTGTGTTCAGTGTTTCCTTTAGGAGGATCTCTTACTATGAAGTAGTTCAAGGGACAAAAAACTTTGTTAAATTCAACTTGAATGGATGTTAATTTATGCAAATTTGGTTTAAAGATTGATGTGCTTGTACGATGACACTGGGGGGTAAGTTATGCTTCTTAACTCATCTCCTAAATTCTCAATTCTTTTACTTCTCTTCCATATATTATCAAGTAACCAAATTTGTTTCATATTAGTCGTTACTGATAGATACTAATTGAATTCATGCCTTAGAAAATACGATTAAGTTCCTCTAGAAATGAGATATTGAGGTAAGTTAGTAGTATATATTTTTAAAATTTTCCAGAAATTGTGTACTTTTTGTTGCTTCTTTTGTTTGAAGTTAGTTCCAAAAGATTTTGACTTTGGTGTGGTTTGATAAATTAATTACTGGTTTATTTCACAGTTCCAACATAGTGATATGTAGAGTGAGTCTGCTTCACTCGTGGGCGTAAGAGTATCATGAGGTGACAACAATACAAATCACCAAGTAAATACTTGGCACTTTTGTATATTTATTTATTGTTGACCTACTCTAGATTGTAAAATGTTTAAGTTATCATATACAGTATGTGTTGTATAACTTTAGTTTGATATGAACTTGAATTTGTGATGTTGGTTTGTTTAGATACTTTTAATCGAATTTGATTTACGTTGTATTTATTGAATCCTAGAATTAAAATTTTCAATAGAAAAACAAATATTCTGGCAGTTCTAAACTGCTAGTATTTAATTTTTTTTAAAGATTGAGATAGAAATTGTGGGGGTTTATAACTCTCGCATAATATATTTTTTAAAACATTAAGATCATATTTGGAAGGTTATAAACTGTCATTGATTGCCTTTAAAACCCCCCACAAATTATAGATTAATTTGTGGCGGTTGTCGTGGAGGTTCTCAAAAACTCCCATACAAATGCTTGTGGCGAAGGTAATTGTGGCATTTTTTAAAACCTCCACAATTCATTTTGTGGAGGTCAAAAACTGTCACAAATCTTTAAATTAACCCCCACTAAATGAGCTCTTTCTTGTTATTCTATTTTTCATGTTAATCTTATTCTCTCATTCAAATTGGGGATGTTCTCTTCTGGAACAATAGAGAAGCATATTTAAATGTAATAGTGTATTTATTAACAGCATATTTAATTTGGTATTTAAAATCGCGTAAGGAATCTCTTTTATAACTGTTAAATTCTTGTAATTGGAAAGTCTCTACCTTCCCTCCTCCTTTTGTAGTAATATAGAAATAGATAAAGTATTGTTTGTGTAAAATATATGGTTTCGATCGCACGTATAGTTCTATACAATGCATTGGTGTTAGTTATTTATCCAATAAAATAGTAGAGAGGTAACACAAATTTACAATGCCTTGCTATCATAGTATGTTGAATTATTTGATTTCGATACCGGCACTAGAGCCGGATTAAATTCCAATTTGCACGTGGACAATAATAGTTGAATTGTTTGTACAACTTGGAACTTCCACCAAGCATTAGGGGTGTCAATGATTTGGTTCAGCCGATTATTTTATAAAATTTGTATTATACTAATTTTTCGGTTATTCTATTATGTATAACCAAAATTAGATTTTTCGAAACCGTCTCAATCATGTCGGTTTCTCTTCGGTATCGGTATGGTTCAGTTAATTTTTGGTATTTTTTTTAATATCATGTAAAATTCAGCAGCTGAAGTAGAATTGCAATAACATACGTTCTTTTATAGGACTTACCAAAACTCTCTAGACATTTTTACTGTTTAAAAGATGATGAATTAAAAAAAAAGATGGCTAGAGTATAGATCCATCAACTATTCTACAACAGCGTAAAAGAAATCAAACAAAGGCAAAAAAAAAAATATTAATCACACGAGTTGAAAGATATACCAAGTTGGGACTCAAGAATAAAGTCTATAGAAGATTAAATATTCAAAAAGATAAATCTAAATTATATGAAAGGAAACATATTCAATGCATTGTAGTTTGCTACTCATAATCGCTAGAATACTTTGTGTTTTGCTAATGAAGATACTTGAAATAACTTAGTTTAAGTAGACGTAGCATAATAAGTTTTAGGAATTAGTATTTTGAGTTTAATTACTTGTTGGCTTGTAATAGTTTTCATAATTCCAAGGCTCAAAGAAAATTTAATGCATTATTATTTTTGAACTTACTAAATAAATATATTTTCTACATGTAAAATTTATTCGATTTATTTTTATAAAATAAAAAACCTACCCTAATTATCGGTGCGGTTATAGATTTATATAAAAACCTACGGTTTCTTAAAAAGAAACCTAAAAATCGATTTGGTGCGGTACAGTTTGAATTTAATCGATTTTCGAATATCCATTGACACCCCTACCAAGCATAATCATTGGAGTTCACAAGTACCAAAAAGCCCCTATAATTTGCGTAAAATGCACATCCATTAGCCTAATAGGATTAATGATTATAATTTATAACGAGCCAAACTACGTACACAACTTTTGTTTCTCTTTCATGGGACTTTATAAATATATCCAATAACTTAATGAGGTAATATGCACATCCATTAGCCGAATGGGATAGGAAAAGAGCAAAGCAGAAAGTTTCATTTCCCTTTCATATTGCTGCAAAATAGATATTTTTATCTCAAAGGTCACATTATTCACAATCCTAATACACAACATTATCCAACATAGGACATCCCAATCTTTGTACAACAACGAAAGAATCAAGGGAAAAAATAAATAAAAGGCTTTTAGCTTTTTGGAGTGCAAAATTACAGATTCCGATCCTTTGTCTTGTGTTTTGTTTTTGTTGTAAAATTTTCTGAGGGGAATTTTCTCATGGCTATGTCTACCACCTTTTAGCTGACCTATTTCCTCTTCCCCTTTTATCTGTTTTAATATCAACAAAGTCCAATGCAAATAAAATTTAATGGGGTCTTATTATTCTTTGGTTACAAAACGTCGCTCATTATCACATGCGACAATCTGCAGACCACCTAAATGGTAGGTACAGTACAATAATGACTTGCTCAGTATGTATATAAATTATTGTTACGAAAAATAGTTTGCTTTGAAAATATGATGTTACCTAAAAATGTTATTTCCTTAGTCATTTGCTTATTTGGTTGGACACAGAGTCAGTGAATGCAATTGAGGTAGAAGGTGAGGCTGCAGTATTAGCAGCTTTGTTGATAGTGGAAATTATTAAGTTGTTTCACATAATTTGTGGGGTGTGGAGTTGGTATTCTATGGGGGTTTTTGGCAATATTTTACCGCATGAGTTAGCTTTTTTGGTTGAGGTCATCCCAACGTACAATAATCACATATTATATAGGAGTGGAGTGGAAATACTTATGATGTGTTTTATGTTTAGTTAACAACAATAATTATATATGTCCCTCAGTCTCAAATAAGTCGGAGTGGGTGATATGAATCCTCGCTTCTTTTATTAAGCTCAACTCAAATCATCATGTTTAGTCATTGTGGAATAATAATCTCTCTATTAGCCAACAATATCGAGTTCCTGTCGACAATTTATCTATTCTTCTGCTTCTTCTTTTTTTGTTTTGTTTTCTTCTGTTATTTATTTAGTTATTTCAGTAGTTGGATTAGGTGCTAATTCAGGTATTTCAGAATAAATTTTAGAAGTATATAGAGAACAAGCCGTTGATCTTAGACATTTCATAATGATATTGTGTTCATTTATCCTAAAGAATATATGTAGGGGCCAATCTTGGCGAATAGATCACACTGTTATTATTAATGAGGCAATGATGGGGCATCAATCAACACATTTGCTAAGAACGTCAATTTTTTCTTAGAGTAAGTTTTTAAATTTTTTGAACATCAAGAAAATTTACCTTATCTTCCTCCTTGTCCTCGTCATCATCAGATTTAGCCATGAGTGCAAAGATTGACTCATATTCTGAAGACTCATTATCAATAACTATCATAGATGCATCTTCTTGGTCATCCTCACCTTCAGATTCACTGGAGGAATCTCCCCAGTCAGCCAGGGCTTGCTTTACCATGTTGTCAGCAGCATCTCTTCTTTTGAACTTTCTGTCAAGGACCTGGATCCTCTTAGCCACCTTTTCAGTGTTGGTTTTGTAATGATACTGCTTATAAAGAGGATAGTCTTGAATGAAGTGTCCAAGCTTTCCACACTTATAATAACAATCATTTCTATTGAAGTTCTTGTTAGAACTTCCTTTCTTTGGGACACCATTTTTACGGATCATCTTTTGAAATCTTTGAGTGAGATACGTCATGTCAGATTCATCATTACTTGAGTCACTGTGGGCAGCTTTGAGAACTAGGTTCTTCTCCTTCTTGGGGTCTCTTCTTTCAAGATCTTTCTTTCTCTTCATCTCATAAGTTTTGAGATTTCCAATGAGTTCATCAATGGTCAACTTTTATAGATTCTTGGTTTCAGTGATAACATTCACTTTACTTTCCGAGGAACCTGGTAAAACATTGAGTATTTTTCGGACTAGCTTATTTCTTGGGATGACTTCTCCAAGGGAGTGAAGCTCATTGATAATGGAGATGAAACGTGTGTGCATATCTTGAATAGACTCATCCTCCTTCATCTTGAAAAGCTCATACTCAGTAGTAAGCATATCGGTTTTGGACTGCTTAACCTGAGTAGTTCCCTCATGGGCAGTTTGGAGAGCTTCCCAGATCTCCTTAGCAGACTGACAAGTTGAGATGCGGTTGTATTCATCTGGTCCTTTGCCACAAACAAGAATCTACTTTGCCTTGAAATTCTTCTCAATAGCCTTTCTATTAGCATTCATGTAATCTTTTCTTGTTTTTGGGACTGTAACTGTTCCCTCACCAACAGTTTTTATGGGAACAAAAGGTCCATCACAGATTTCATCCCACAACTTTAAGTCCTCAGCCAAGATGAAGTCATGCATTCTTATTTTTCACCAACCATTATATTGGCTGTTGAATCTTGGTGGTCTATACGTTGATTGTCCTTCCTCGAAGTTTGTGGAACAGCCATGTAGATCTTTTTTAGGTGTTAACCTTTTAAAAAGAACCTGCTCTGATACCAATTGATAGAAATTAAGAATCCAATAAACTGTATAGAGAACCAGGTTATCTATCAGTTCCCATGGTAAGCAACAGACTGTAAAACCAAACAGCATAGGAAACCAGGTTCTCTCTCTATTCCCACAGTAAATCGGCAGTAAATAAAGAACACACGATATTTATGTGGAATACTCCTTGCTCAAGGGATTAAAAACCACGATCTACCCTAGTAGGATTTCAACTCCACTAAATAGAGAAAACTTCAGATTACAACATATTACAATCTAAGAATTAAACTATTAATCCCTCACCCCTTATAATAACTATATTCCAAGCCCTCTATTGCAAAGCAACAAACTTTGACTAACTCTAGTTAAGAAACTAAACCAAACAGTGGTTTAAATATGTCATACAAAGACACTTCTTGAAAGTAGTGTCGGATTACAAATGAAGACAAAATAAAAAAAGACTCAACAAACCTAAGAACTTAAGATATCTTCAATCTTTGGATCTGGTCCTTGAGGTTGCAACAACTTTATTCTTGAGAGAGGTGGTGGCTAGCACTTGAGAGATTTTATTCTTTTTGATTTGCAAGTGTTAGCGAGATGAAATCCCTTGCCTCATGTTGATATATGTGTGTGTGATGTCATCAAGGATGACGCAATAAAATGTCCTTTAGTTTGGCCTTAGCAAGCTACAACTGTGCTGCTGTACTATTGCCAGACGGTACAGTGCAACAACTTTTACAGTTGTAAAGTTGACTGTACGATGACCAGGGGAACTAATCCATATTTGTTCCCTCTGCTGTTCTCTTATATGATTTCGTTGAGAATGAACCAGACATCTAGTTATTCTGAATGCAAGGTAACTAATTGCATTAAGTTTCTTATCTGATTATCTCGTGAAGTTTGTCAAATCATCAAAACAAAAAACGCATAACTTATCAGTCTTATAGTTATTTCCTTATCTTATAGATTACAATGACCCATGCAAGGGAGGTGGAATATGTTACTAGACTTGGCATTGAGGTAACATGTTTGAATAATTCATATATTTTTCGCTTAAATAGTCTCATCCTTTTGAGGTGTAAAATTAGCAAACTTTTTTATCAAAAGCAAAAAGAAGGTCATCTCGAACAATAGCAGAAATATTGTTCTCGTTATTTTCAACTTTCTTTCCTTCTCTAATGTCTTGCTTCAACTTGTGGCAAAACCTTTTGATATGTACTTTCTTGCCATAGTGGTTGCATGTAATATTACGGTTTTTGGACATTGACTTATTTCTGCTTTTGCCTCTATTCCTCGAACCTCTTGTTCGTTCTATCTCTCCTACGGTCTTCTGTAATCAAAACATCTTCTTGTTAGGAAGAACCCTGAGATTTTCTCCTTACCTCCTTGTTCAACACACCACTCTTGGCATATTCCATGGTCACCTTACCACTAGAAACTTAATTAGTCAAAGAAACACGAAAGGTTTTCCAAGAGTCTGATAGAGTATTAAGAACCCAAATCCCTTGTATCTCATCATCAAAATTAACTCCCATTCAAGATAACTGATATGATTTTGCTGTCTGATAGAGTTATTATGATTCTGCTTGTATATGATTTAACTGCACGGGTTGATATGGTTGTCATGTTCTAGCATCGTCACTACTTTGCCGAGGTTAGGCTCGACACTTACTAGTACATGGGGCCGGTTGTACTGATACTACACTTTGCACTCTTTTGTGCAGATTTCGGTACCGGACCCGGTGAGTAGCTCAGGTAGCTGCCTTCAGTCCAGGGAGACCAAGGTAGATCTGCTGGCGTCCGCAGAGCCTGAAGTCCCCCTTCCCTATTTTAGCTTTCTGTTGTCTCTTTTCTTTTCGAGAGTAGTTGTATTCCCTTTTCAGACTAGTATTTATAGTAATTTGTAGATGTTCGTGAAGTTGTGACACCAGATCTGAGGGTAGACTTGTATGAGATTATTTGATCATGTTATAACTCTTCCGCATTTATCACCTGTTTAACGTTAGTTTCTATTTATAACTGTTTGGGATTGATTGTTGCTGTGTAGAACCCTAATAGTTGGCTTGCGTAGCTTTCACGAGTAGGCGTCATCATGACTCCCAAGAGTGGGAAATCCGGGTCGTAACACAAACATAAGTGGCAGACTAATACTTATCCCGAAATTCTCCCCTTAAACAAGACTCTCAAACCCCATATGACTACATTATGAATGCTACTGAATGAGAATAAATGATCCTTAATTTATGGAAGTACAAATATTTTCCTCCAGAAAAGGGACTAGCCAAATATGAGGGATTTATAATTTTCTTCTAAAAAGAAAAATCCAATTATGGTAAATGTGTTGCCCTTTCCTTCAATAGATAGAAAAATTAAATATGGTAAGAAAATCAGGATCTAACAATTCTCCTTCCTAGCTTGAATTTTCTGACAAAATAAACTTGATTCACCTTCTTCACTTAACCTTCAACATGTCTCATCTCCAAATCTCCACCATAAAGTTTTTGTTAACATGTGTAGCACCCCGGTCAAATCTCTCATACAAAAATTATAATTACCGTTAAATAGGTTGCAACTAGAAGAAACCTGCCAATATGAATCTATCTTAATCCTTGCTCTGATACCACTTGTTTGGACCAAAATAATCAGGTATCATGCGGAAGCTAACAAAGCAAACCTTGAATGACGATAAGTCAGACAACAAAAGAGAAATATACCAAAAGAGACACAAATATTTAATATGGTTCAGTCAATTGACCTACATCCACGGCCGGAGATGAGCAATTCACTATAAAAAGAGAGTACAAAATATCGAGAGAACAACCTCACAAAGAGGCAAACACAAGCGGCACACTAACACTTGTCCCGTAAAGTTCTCCCCCCTAAACAAGACTCTCAAACCCCTTATGGCTACATTATGGATGTTGCTGAATGAGAAGGAATAATCCTCAATTTACAGAAATCCAAACATTTTCCTCCAAGAAAAGAAACTAGCCAAATATGAGAAATTTATAATTTCATTCTAAAAAAGAAAAACTCAATTATGATAAACATGTAACCATTTCCTTCAAAAGATAATAAAACTAAAATGATAAAAAAAAATAGGACAAACACCTAACAAGCACCACATTTCAAAGGTGTGAATTTACGATTTTGGTTTTAGCATGTAGTAGTCATTTTTTGATGTTTCCCTTTAATCCATATTTTTTATGAGGATTCCTTAACCATTTAATTATTTTCTTCTCATGGACTATTTTCTTGGTTCAAGTAGTTAAAAGATTGCTGTACAATTGCTTATAGAGGTAAAAGTTTCACATACAAATCAGGTATATATTAACCTCCAACTGATAATTTTCTTTCCTCCTGAGTTTAGGTATATATTAACCTCCAGCTAATGATTTTCTCTCCTCCTGAGTCTTGAGCATTGGTTCACCTATGGCGACTAAGTCTCCAACTGGTAAAAAGACATTCCCACCCATGGACCGATACTACTAAAAAAAACTAGTTAAATTCATTCACAAAAATCGACCGAAATCGGTCAAAAATTAAAAAAAGCAATGGATTTCTGACCGCTTTTAATTAGTCGAAAAAATAATGGTCGCTAACGTGTTGCGATTGAAATCGGTCGAAATTTTCCGGCCAAAATCGGTTGATTTATTCAAATGTTGACTGACTGTCAAACTTCATTTACCGGCCAAAATCGGTCGGTATTAATTAAATTTTTTTATTTAATTTTCAAATACCGATCGAAATCGGTAGAAACTTTAAATAAATAATAATTTTATTTAAATATATAATTATTTGTAAACTGTAATAAATTTTTAGTTTATTTAAATAAATAAATTTAAATTCATAATTTCCGACTGAATTCGATCGAAATTTTGAATTTCTGGACAAAAAAAAAGATTTTCGATTGGTTTTCAATAATACTACCAACTAGAGTTTAAAACAACCAAAACAGTCCTAAAAAATTTCATCCATGATCATATAATTCTAAAAAATTAATACTCACTCCATTTCAATTTATACGAACCTATTCCCTTTTTGGTCCGATCCAAAAAGAATGACCCCTTTCTAAATTTGGAAATAATTTAGTTTCAACTTACAATTCTACCCTTAATAAGAAACATTTATAATCACATAAATACTCTGGATCCCTTTATGACTTGTTTAAGACCAAAAATTCAAAAATCTTTATTTTTTCTTACACTCCGTGCCCAATCAAACAAGTTCACATAAATTTGAACAGAGTGAGTACTATATTTGAGATAATATCTCATTACAAACTCCATAAATTAAAATACATAAATAAAATAAAATCTATGCGAAATGAAAGTCTAATCGAAATACAAGAATATTTATAATGTAATCACTTTGGCTAATAAATTTACCCCTGGAGAATTTTCACATTCATGTACCTGTGAAAAAAGAGTCATAATTTTAGTCATACTTTTAATATCACGATTCAGAAACAAATAATTAAACGTTAATCATAAAAATATATATATTAATTAGTGAAGCAAACAATAGAATAAGAAATAAGTACTGGTGTATAAACGACTTACTCGATGTTACACAACAGATATTTTCAACTCCTCTTTGGGTGCAAAATAACCACAAGAATTAAGAATAAGAAATGTCAAATTTTGAATACTTAACCTCTCAAGAATTCCAGAAACATGAACAAAATATCTTTAAATGTATTTCATAAAACTGAAAAAGAAACCACTACTACTACATAAACACAGTGAGATCCAATAAAGAAAATCAAACATTTTGAATTGTGGGTGTGAGAGAGGAAAAAAAGAAGAAGGGGGGAGGTGTGAAGATTATACAAAAGAAATAGAGGAGACGGGGGAGACGAAGGGGATGGGACT